TTGTTTTCATTGTGCTGTCCTATGTGCAGATCTTCAGGGCTGTGCTGAGGATCATCTCTGAGCAGGGACGGCATAAAGCATTTTCCACGTCCCTCCCTCACCTGATCTTGGTCACCCTGTTTATCAGCACTGGATTTTTTGCCTATCTGAAGTCCCCCTCCACTTCCTCCTCATCTCTGGATCTGGTGGTGTCATTTCTGTACTCGGTGGTACCTCCAGCTGTGAACCCCCTCATCTACGCCATGAGGAATCAGGAGCTCACGATGTATTTTATGGCTTTTCAGTTTAGAGAAAAGGTGATGTCAGCATTCTCCAACACATGCTGACCCAGGCTGTCTCCTCAGGAAGTCTGGACAGGCTGACTAGAGGTCTCTTGAGGTCTGACACTGTATGGACAATGCTCCTCATCTACGCCATGAGGAATCAGGAGCTCAGGGACGTACTGAAGAAGATGATTCAGTCATTTATACCTTTACAGAAATGAGCTTCTCTTGTCTCTTCAGAAGAGATTTTCTAATTCATCTCTGAAACCTCCAGTGCATGGAGCTTTTTGTCTGTGACAATCCTGTTTGTCCAGGAATGTCTGCATCCACTCAAGTTCCGCTGAGGCACGACCCAGCCTGTCTGCCCTAGAAGACTCTGTATGTTTCTCTGCCAGGATGGTTGTCCTGGGTTTGGCCAGAACAGGGTTAATTTTCACTGGAATCCATTTGTTTTACTCTTTGCAAGCCAAGAAAAGTGAAGCATGACACGTTTCATCAGCAATAAAACACTCTGCAACCATATGAGATAATCTACAATTCAATGATTTGTTCCTTCAGATTCCTCTCAGCTTGCCAGCTGCTGCTCTTTGAGCTTCGGAGATTTATAAGGTTTCCTGTCTTTCACAGGAATAATTGTATCCTTAGGCAGCTCTTTCCTTATGTTAATATCTATTTTTTTTCTTTACCCATCTAAACAATTTCTCATAAGATTATCCCTTGAAGACAGGTGACCTCATCAGAGGCAACTTGTACTTAGCATATGGTCACTGAGTGTGCTTTGTTTTTTATGAACACTGTTTATGCTTTCATTTTTTTGCATTCAAAGAGGAAAAAACCTTCTCTGCCTGTGTGCAGCCAGTTCTTGAAGGAGAGCAGGTGGGAGATGATGCAATGGAGCTGTAACATTCAGTTGCAGACTTGAGTGGAGAAGTCTGAGGCAAGGAACAGTGATGAAAGTCCCAGGTGGCCAATGACAGAAATGGTAAGGTTGGGGAGGTGAGGAGCAAGGTTGTCCGTACAGTGTCAGACATCAAGGAACTGGTTTTCCTACCTGTCCAGACCTCCTGAGGAGACACCCCAAACCAATATCATTTGGACAATGCTTCTGTCATCTCTTTGCTAAAGTGAAGTGTAACAAAGACTGCCCTTTAAAATAAAAAATCATTACTGTTACATGCACTTTGAATTCATTTTCCCTAACTGGACTATGAAACTTCTTTAATCGGCTGTGCAAGCCTTAAGGAGTTGAAGGAAATTACCGGAGCAGACACGGGTCTTGAGGGCTTTATGTATTTTAATGAGCCCCATGATGTCTTTGGTGGAAAGTCTATGAAATTCAGGTACTGAGAAGATGGAATAAGCTGCTCAAGAAGTCAGAAGCAAAACTCAAAGTACTTGGAAGCATTAATGGACCCCACTGAGGGCCATTACTGACAAAGCCTCCCCAGGGACTCATTAGAGCAGATAACTGGGGGCTGTGATTGCAGGCAGGCAAAGGCACTGTGCAGGTGGCTGTAATGCTGAGAAAACACAGGAATAATTGTATCCTTAGGCAGCTCTTTCCTTATGTTAATATCTATTTTTTTTCTTTACCCATCTAAACAATTTCTCATAAGATTATCCCTTGAAGACAGGTGACCTCATCAGAGGCAACTTGTACTTAGCATATGGTCACTGAGTGTGCTTTGTTTTTTATGAACACTGTTTATGCTTTCATTTTTTTGCATTCAAAGAGGGTTCTTATGAGAAATTGTAAGGAAGAAGTTGTAAGTGGGAGAATCGGGAAAAAAAAACCAAAAAACAACTGCAGAAATAATCAGGGCTGTTGGTGGTACCTGCCAAGCAGCCCTGCATCTGAGAAATGTCTGGAATGGGACAAGAAAGACACAGATCATCTGACAAAACTTCTTTCTGCCTGACTTCAGTGGTCACCGGGAAGCTGAGTGTGCTTCCTCCCATCATGAGGGCAAGATCCACGGTAGATGGAAGCACCGAATCATTCGTGGTAAAAGGGACTGCGGGAGGGCCCTGCGTTTGGCCGTGGCATGGTGAGCACCTTCCTGGGCCCAGCTGCAGAAGCTCTGCAGTGACACGGCTGTGCTGGGCCTCTGTGTATCAGAAGGAGTCTGGCACTTGGAGGGGCAGAGTATTGTGCCATTTTGCACCCCTAAAGGATCAAGCTGGAAAGTGAGTCTGTGTGTCGGAATAAACGAGGTCCATGGCGAGGCCTGGCTGTACCCACGGCACTAGCTGGAGACTGGTATACCCACAGAGTAGCTTTAACCAAGACTGAAAACCTTGCATGGGGTTCCTGGATCCAGGAGGGTGGAGAATGGAAGGTAGGAGTGGGGTAACCCCATGAGAATGGTACTGGGAATTATGGCTGGGTGTACCCTCACTCCCAGACACTGTCCCCCAATGGCATCCCACTCACCAGCGCCCTGAAGAGGCACAAGTCTTCCCCTCTGAGACCTGGCATGTGCACTCTGCTGCTCTCCTTGCTCACTCCCTTTGAAAGCTCAGACCCCACTACTTCATGGGGGCTGCAGCCAAGGCTGACATTGGATTTCACATCCCTGACCTGCTTTTCCCTGATTACAAGAATGAGATCCAGGTGAGCATCACCTCTGCTGGCACATCTGGCAGCTGTGCTAAGAAGCTGGCCCCAAGAAGCT